AAGGCTAAAAATCATACAAAGTACGTGGATCGAAACCAGAAATAAAAACAAAGAAATGTGGGAAACGCAAAAGCAAATGGAAATGGAGCGGCCTTCCTAATGGCCACGGGGCAAAGAGGAAGTCACGAGGGAATCAGAAATGACAGCGATGACCTAGGCAAACCACAGCGCAGCCCCCTTGCAGAACACGACAACAGCAGCTCTGGGCGAGCAGAAAGGCTCTGCTAAACGACCGGACCAGACCCCGAGTCAACAGCCCACTGAAGGAGCCGGAGACTCAGAAACACGCTGAACACAAAGCCGGCAGAAAGACAGAAACAATACAGATTAGCGTGGAAAGAGATGAAACAGAACTGAGTGGCACCGCCCCATCTCTGACCCCAGTTACGCCTCAAACCACAGAGTACCAAACCCTGCATGGTTTCTCCTCTAAGTACAGAGCTGTAATGAAGTTTAATTCATAAATCAGATACATAAGAGATGAACAGCAACAACCGATAGTAATAAAACAGAACAATACAATCATGTTCTCTGTGCAGAGCAGAACATTAGAATGTCATCACAGCTATGTGAGTGTGAGCTCTCTCGAAAAGTATCTTACGCCGCATAAATCTCAAGCCCTGGTTGGCTGTGCTTACCGGAAGCGTGGGAAGCAGAAGCACGGATGTGGGGCTCAGGACCTACTGTATCCCCAGGAGCAAAAACTGTCCACACACGTTCACAGAAGGAGTATTCAAGCGGCCAAACGGTCCTCAACAGGTGGACAAAACATGCCAAATCCATATAAAGAAATATTATTCAGACACGAAAAAGGAGTGGAGGTCTGGAGCCTGCTACGCCACGGAAACACCGTGCTAATGAGAGAAGGCGGCACACCGGCCGTGGACAGTCTGAGCTCACCGTCTGACACTGACAGGCAAGATGAGACAAGCCCGCCCAGCACAGACAGCGGGTCAGGGTCAGGGAGGGACCTGTTAGCAGCTATGCGGAACGCTGGGGCGGGAAGACGAAAATGTCCTGGAATTAGGAAGCTCCGGTGCTTGCAGAGCAATGTGGATGAACTAAAATGCCGGCCCTCCCGGGTGGCGCACGGGGTTGAGTCTCGACACTATGCAGCTTTCGGCAGCCACGGCAGCACGAATTCCACCCTCCCGCCAGGGAGTGACCCCCAGGGTGCAGCAGACCTCCCCTGTCTGACCTCCCCTGTCTCTCCGCTGCTCCCCTCAGCAGTGTGCATCAGTGGCTCCGCCTGTTCTGCTCCCCACCCTGTCTCTAGTAAGTCTTTTCACTATACCCACTGCACCTCTAGCCTGTACTCCAACTCTTATATGCATAAATAAATGAAACAAATACCTTTAAAAAAAAAAAAAACTAAAATGTATGCATTAAGGTGAATTCCATTTTGTGTGGGCTTTAGCTCAAAAAATAAAACGCAAGTGAAAACAGAATCAATGAATGAACTAAAAGGTGGGTCAGAAGAAATACTCAAAATGCGCACAAAAAGAAAAGCAGAGGAATATGGAAGTCAGGATTCAGAATACAGGTGACAGATTGAATGCACGCATGAGAAGGGGGAGAAAAATAATAAGGCAGAAGCAACACTGACAGGCACGAGAGCTCATACTTTTCTAAAACTTATAAAAGTCATAAATCTATAGTTTTATGAAGCCCAACCACTATCAAGCAGGATTTTTTGTCTTTTAAATCCTACGTAGAGGAATCACAGTGAAACTTCAGCAACACCAAAAAAGCCAAGAGACCAGGGAATAAAAGCACTTAAAGGAATAACAGAAAGACAGGCGATGTCTCATCCACAAAAGAGGCCAGGAGACAGTCAAGTGTGCTCAATGTTCTGAAAGAAAAAACAAGTCCGCCCAGGACTCGATATCCAGCAAAAACGTATTTCAAGACTAAACGTAAAACAAAAACCGTGTCAGCCACACAAAATCAGGAGAGCTGCAACAGCCCCACACTTAAAGAAACATCAAAACTGTTCTATAAACGTCAGGAAAATGACCCGGGACGAATGGCTGGAGACTCAAACTCTGACGGCCTGAGCGAAGCGTGACCCGGTGCATCCATGTGAGCACTTTCTGCGTGAACCAGCGCGGCACGCTGAGGCTGGAGATGAGGACGGCAGACTTTGAAGACAAGGGTTAGTGTTCTCTGTGCAAAGAGCTTCTACAAATCAGTGAAAAGTAAGCAGAAAAATGGACAGCTGACAAGAAGGACAAGCAGAGTCTGCCTCGCCGGTGCCCGGCAGGCCGTAATGTCACAGGCACACCAGGTTCTGGCCTCGGACTGACAGAGTCTGTTCTAAATGAAACAACATCCTTCATTGACACGGACGTGAAAAAAACATAAAACCCCTTCAGGAACCTTCTGCTAGAACCCTGAAAACTTTTAAATGCGCGTAATCGGATCACGAGCAATTCTTGGAAATGTAAGCGTGTTTCCAACACTACACACTCTGACGGGTTTACATTAGCACAACCCCGGGGAAGCCAGAGGGCACCAAGAGAAGAAAGGTTAAGGAAACCAGGAAGTGTCCACAGCAGGAAACCCTCTCCAGGCAGTAAGCCGACCCTGGCGACATCACCTCACGTGGCGCTACGTCCGGATATGTTGCTGACAGTAAAAAAAAGGGCTGCAGAAATACATCGTGATCTCACCTTTCTTATGAAATAATAAAGCAACAGCAAAGCAACTATATAGATTTCCATCTGCAGAGAAACTTCCAGAAACACACTTTGTTGACTACTAGCAGTATTATTCCTAGGAACTTAGGGGAAAGTTAGCCAGATGTGCTTTCTCATTTTACATAGTCATAATTTTTGTTTACAGCAAGGCTTTTTGTCACTGAAAACAAACAGAAAGCAAGGAATAACATAACCGCTTTGATGGTTTACCCACGAAGCACCTGGCCCAGGAGACGCACTCGAGGGTGCCTGAGGAGTAAAGGGGTGCTCCCAC